ACGATGACATGGAGAGTCTGGTTTACAAGCAGCATTGTGAATGCTGCCTCAAATGGACCTGTGTGTGGTTGCAGTTAGGATAGGCCCTAGCTAAACCCGAGAGTTTCTCTACAGCAAAGCTATGGAGGTCAGTTAAAGCCAGAGCAACGGATTTGGGGACTTAATGAATAGAGATGTTGCCTGCTATGCAGGTGAGCCTAACCAGACCAGGCTCTGAGACACAGGTCATAGGACCCACTGGTTGTGAACCAAGGCCACATCAGGTCGGTGGTGTGAAAGGTTTGGAAGGGAGGACTGGAGTGCTCATTGGGTCACCTGATGGACCTTGGAGGGGTATATTAAGAGTCTGTATATTGAGGAGGTTGATTGGACAGTGGAGGGTGGGTTGTCACAGAGAAAGGATCAGGTTAGAACTTCATGGTGGTTGTAGAACAATTGCGTGCAAAGCAGTGATTCAGAGCTTGTCCAAAGGTTTCCTATGCATAGATGCAGGTAGGCCATGTGTTAATCAAATCCTAGAGCTTGGCTGTAATACAATCTTTTGTGGTCATATTTAGCAGAGGAAAAAGCTGTGGGATAGGGTCTAGATCTGGTATGATTGAGAAAAGGTATGGATGAGGAGGTCAAGGTCAAGCCATACCCTAGACAATTACATGGGAAGTCTGGGTGCCTAATGTGGTGGCAGAGGCTTCACAGAAGGGAACTGTAGGTGAATCTAGGGAATGCAGGTTTTGGTTAAGCTTAGAGCTTCTCACTGACTCAGTCAGGGGTGTTTTGGCTATGCTAGTACCAAAGATGTTTGACCCTGGGGACGCCTAGGAAGTGTGTCTTATACAAACATGGCTGGCCAGAGTAGACCATGATTCTGGATGTGGAAACCAGGCTTAGATATGGTAGGTTTCAAACAGGCATAAAGGTGTGGTCAAGGGAACTTACCCTGCTAGACACTGGAGGATGACATGAGAACTGAAGGTAAAAAGTGGGTTGTAGAGTCTGCTCAGAAGGGCCCTGTAGGAGGCTTCAGGTTGGGATTTCGTGCCTGAAGCCTAGAACTTGCCTGAAGAACAGGCCTTGGTATTCAGTCTAGGCTAATAAAAAGGAAGTGTTACCTTGAAGAGGCCTAGATGTTGGCTACTGTTGGTGACCTAGCTAGGCTAGGGTGCTGCTTGTGGGATCCAGGTTAGATCTGGGGACTTGAAGAAAAAGAATGCATAGTGATATGGGTGGAATCCACTGGGATCAAACCTGGAAGAGGACAGAAGTCTGAGGTCCTACTGAGGTGATGGGCACATCACAGAAAGCACCTATGAATGGTGTCAGAAAGGGCAGACATGTTCTGCCTAGAGTATGGTTTTTAATTATGAATGGGTGGACTCTATGCAGGGCTGGGTGGTGCCAGAATAATGAAAGACACTGGAGGCTGAAATAGGATGTCTGGGGACAGAATAAGGTGGTGAAGGTGTTCCAGAAGTGGCCTCTGGGTAGCTGCATGCAGCCTGAACTTGATAGTAAGACCCCATTGAGGAGGGCATCACAGCTTTGATCACAATACATGAAAAAGTCAATCTGGTAACTTCCCATAAGCTTACTTCCTGATCTTTAGTTTGATAGATTCAAAGGGAGCTATGCCAAGATCTGGGTGAGAAAGGACAATCATAGCTGTATCCAGATGTGAATCCTGCAAGTAAAAACAATGATGCCCATGGGGAAAATGTGGTCATGTGTACAATACTTACATGAATGTCATGGAGGTAACTGGCCCCTTTCTTTTTTTTTTTTTTTTTGGTTTTTCGAAACAGGGTTTCTCTGTGGCTTTGGAGGCTGTCCTGGAACTAACTCTTTTAGACCAGGCTGGCCTCGAACTCACAGAGATCCACCTGCCTCTGCCTCCCGAGTGCTGGGATTAAAGGCTGGCCCCTTTCTTTTTAGGTTTAAGGCCCACTACACAGGTGGAATCCCATCGCTATTACAATAAACCTGACAAAGAGACCATGGCTAAGGAAACCATAGGACTAACATGAGACTTATTACAATTATTTTGTTAAATGAGCATAATGACACGGTGCCTTCTAATTATGTATTTTGATATCCCTATGTTAGTGTAGCTCTCAGTCTGCATCAAGGAAGCTTCTTCTTGTATTGGACTACAGTCAATATGGAGACTCACAACTGATCAAAATGACATGTGTCTGGTGTATTTAGCCATAAAGGTGACAATTATATCACACTCCCTCTCATGAAGGCTCTGGGAACATGATAGAATAGAGGCCAGAAATCTTGTCAGAACTAGAGGTTAGGAAGGATCAGGGTGAAACAGTGTCTTCTGAACATGGCATGAGTATGTCATTGATGAGATCTTTGCTGTTGTATTTGACTACCCAAGATCAAACCAGTCAACCCTGACACACACATACTATTGTACTGGGCATATGAGCTAGGGAAATCAATAACTGAGAACTTATTGATAGTTGATGACTATTAGGAAAAGGAGAATCAGTTCTTTTAGAGCTTTGATACCCTACTAATTTGGCCATACACAAGATGGATTAACAATATGCATTATTTAGACAGGACATATCAGACTAATGACATTTTTAAAAGAATAACAACAGTAATAAGGGAAAAGGCTATTGAGACATTGCAAGTATGAAAGATTCTAAAGAAGCTATCATAATCTTAGAGCACAGATCAGGTGCTGCTGTGTCCACTCACATCTGCAGCTGCATTGAGACTCTACACTATTAGGCTCCAAGATGGTTGGGGCTATGAATAGCATATTCTGTGTGATGGCAAAACAGTAGCTAAATGTGCCCCTATTCCATACCCTCTTCTTCCATCTTAAAAGTCATGCTTTGATTAACTAAAATGTAAGATCACTTTCCTTTCCCTTGCCAACCAGAAAAATAGCCAGCCTAGCTACAATTGTGCATGATAGCCAGCTCATCAGTCACAGAGCAAGGAACTTCCTTCCTTCCTCTGAAGTGTATAACAAGTGGCCCCTGTCTACTTCATGAGCAATATCTTGTCCCAGAACCTCCTTCATGATCCCATCTGTCTGCTTATGGCATTAATAATTCTAATCTTTTATCTCCAAAGGACAATGCGCCTCAGTGTTGTCCAGGAACCCAAACCTGCATTCTTTCATAATGTTGATGAACCCCAGAAGGGTACTTATGAGCCCTGTGTGAACTGGAATGGAGAAAATGGACATCTTTCCACATTTTTTTCACAGTTTCTGATTTTAATGTAATCCTAAAATTATGTTTTCTCTATTTTTGCAAATTTAGTTGTGGGCTTCATTTTTATTTTTTCATCATTTAAAACATTTTAAATTAAATGTAGTTTGATCTTATTCTTCATCTTCCTCAAGTTCATCCAGATCCTTTATTCCTCTCTGATAACCCCACCATTTGCACTTCCTTTAAAAATCAACAAAAAAGCAATACAACAAAAATCCCCCAAACCAAGAGAAAAAAAACACAGCATACCAAAAATAAAACTGCAGTTACAACAACATCTATAATGAAAAAATCCCACACAGAAACTTCAGATCTATATTTGTTATCAACTAATTCTTATTTATGAGCCCTACCCTGGAATGATTGACATACCCAGAGTTATTCCATTGAAGAAAAATGCCTTTCCCTTACCCTGGCTGTAGAAATGAAAGTTCAATTGTTAACCTTTACACTACTGGCTCATTTTTAACTAAATAACTGACTAGCTAACTAACTAACTCTTTGCCTAACTAACTGAATAAGTAACTAACTACCTAATTAATTAAATAAAATATGGGAAATAAAATACTGTGGTATGAAACAAAACCTATTACCTCAAAGATATACAAAACAAATAGGAGGAAAAGAGCCCAAGAAAAGTTACAGAGTCATAGAATTATGAGTTTGCACACCCATGTATTACATAAACACATTAATCTGGAAAACATACTTTAAATGCAGAGGACCAGGTACAGACCAGTGAAGGCCCTGTGCATGATGCTTCATTCTCTATGAGTTCATATGAGTCCCAATGGCTCTTACATACTGCAGCGTTGTTTTCTGTGGAATTTCTTGATCACTGGTGATAAAAGACCAGTATCAACCCAAGTTACAGAAGTGAAAGTTCATTTGGGTTTGTGGTCCCAGATGCTGAAAATCCATCATGTCTGGAGGCATGACAGTATGCAACAGGTAACAGAGTAACAGCAGGAAGCTAAGACTCTTATCTTGAACCACAAGCACAGTAAAGCAGGTAGGAAAAAAATTTGCACTAGTATGTTAGCTCTGAAAACCTTCCCTCAGTAAAATACTTCATCCAGCAAGACCTCATCTCCTAAAACTGTCCAAAGGGGACAACAACTGTGAAACAAATATTCAAGTATGGGAATCTACGAAAGACACTCTCATTCCAACCAGTAAAACTGACATTTTCTCAGTTTGGTTCCTATTTTCATCCATTTATTTGAGATTTTCATGTTTAGGGGATAGACACTTTCAACATAAGTCCTTATGCTCCTGTGAATTTCTTCAATAACTGCTTTATTTTTCTCCTTTTGCCTATTTGGGGTTACTGATTTGGTTGTTCCCTCTCTCTGTGTGTCTCTCCCTGTGCCTCCCTAGTGAGTTTATTCTTTGAGGAGAGAATCCAGATTGAGAGACCTTTAGCTAGTTTCCTATCTTGAATTGGTTTCCCTGTTTCATACCACTGTGTGTTCGTGTCTGCAAGATCTGGTCAGAGGAGGAGGTCTTGGGGTGTCTGGGTACTAAATATATTCATAGAAGTTACACCGAAGGGACCAGGCTACATTCTAGAGGATCAGCTAAATCTAGGGGGAAAAGTGAACTGAGGGAAAAAGGGCAAAATATGTGTCTCTGTGATTGCAGCTAAGTAGGAGCTTAACTGCTGAGAGGTCAGGGTGTGGTCAGACAAGGCTATGAGTGTGGATGCATCACAAAGGCTAGAGTGTTCTAAGAATGTCCTGGATTCTGAAGTCAAGGAAACTCACTAGGCTCAAGACTAGAGGAGCAGTGTGGAGGTGGATTGATATTGGTACACAGGAACCTTCTTTAGGAGCGTCTGTGACTGGTTATAGGTAGGGCATTTCATGGGTGAGGCCTAGACCTTGGCTGGGCTGACAGAGTTTGATGTAGGTGGGGCTGTGGGACCCATGATAAAACACGGGAAATAACATGGGGACTCTGTGTCCATTGTATGGGGATAGAGACAGTACCAAGGAGACCCATTGGTGGTTGCAGGTAAGTCTCATAGTGGTAGAATCCTAGAGATTGGCCTCAGTGTAGGCTGTATTGGTCAGACTACTAACAGTGTAAATTATATGAACCCGGCTGAAGCCTACGGGTCTCTGTTGCACAGACAGTGTGAGTCATATTAGACCAAGGCACAAGTTATAGCATCAACTAGATATGGTAGCAGGAAATAACCTTGGATGTTAATGTAAGGACATACATATTACAACCTGGAAGAGGACATGGGAATTCAGAGTACCAACTGAGATGGCGGAGAAAAACAGTCAACAGACATGAGGCACGTTGTAGGTAGGGCATCCCAGATGAAGGCAAGAGCTTCTCTGAGACAATGGTGGATGTGGTCATCCTAGGTTAGTGCAAAGATATGGAAGCCTAGATATTGGCTATCACACAGGTTAGGTGGCCAGACTAGATTAGGACACTGAATGTGGGACCAGGTTAGAACTTGCAGGTTACATGAAGGCTTCAGTGGGGAAGTCCAAGGAACCAACCTAGCTGACCCAGAGGAGGCCTTGTGTGTCTGCATACCATGTCACTTAATGCAGCCCCACAGAACATGTCAGGGTGGACCCTGAAGGAAAGATGGGAAGGATGGTATATTGTCTGGGTCCTCTCGAGAATATAATTAATAAAATGAGTATGTGTGGGATTTATTAGAGTGGCTTACAGGCTACAATCCAACTAGTCAAATTGTAGGAGTGAACCCCACAAAGCTATCCGCCCAACAGGGCGGGGTCAAGGTAGAGATAAAAGGAAGTTAAAGGAAAAGGGGATACCCTTTTTCTCCTGGAAGCCAGCCATGCTTCTAACTCATGGTCTGTGCGACTCTCTCTCTCTCTCTCTCTCTCTCTCTCTCTCTCTCTCTCTCTCTCTCTCTCTCTCTCTCTCTCTCTCTCTCTCTCTCTGGTAAATAAATATATTGTTTTCCCAATATAGCATCGAATATCGTTATATCTAATAATAGATGTCTACAATGGAAGGTCCAGGAACCCAGGAGATGTTCGTTCTACAGGTCTGATTGTTTCAGATTGTCTTCAGTAGGCATGTAAAATCTCAAAGAAGTAGGTTCTAACGCCAGTAAATCAACAGCATGGGAAAGCAGGAAAAGAGAAATAATTTCTTTCTTCCTTGTCTTTTACCTAGGCAGCGACACCCAATTCTCCCCCACACCATAGGTAAGTCTTCACACTTAAAGTGATCTGGATTTAAGGTGGGGCTTCCAACCTCAAATAATCCAGTTAACTAAAATCCCTGTGTAGGCTCTAATGCCAGCGACTCAAGAGCATGTGCAAGCAGGAAAAGAGCAATAATTTCTATTTTCCCTGTCTTTTACCTAGGCAACCACAACTAATTCTACCCCACACCATAGGTAAATCCTCCCACATAAAGTGATCTGGATTTAAGGTGGGACTTGCTACCTCATATGATCCATAGTTGTGCTCAGTGACTTGGATTTTTAGGGAATATCAATGTAGTTAGTTGATAATCAAGATTATTAATCACAAATAGGTACTGGGTGGCATTGTTAATGAAAACATAAGGAATTTATGGCTAGTTTGTTGGAAACCTAGTCCTTGGCTGCTTTGCCATGGATGATGGACATAGTAGGACTATTAGAAGGACTTGTGACAAGGTCAAAATGTATTGGTTTACAGAGAGGTTTGGTGGGATCACCAAGGGCAATCATTGTCCTTGCTCTTCAAGAAGACATGGGAAATATTGGTACTTAATGAGGGAGTGGAGGAAGGCTACCTGTGGGCTTTACAGGGAAAACAGGTGTTGGTGAAATCCTTGACTTTTGGTATGGTATTCTCAAGGTTGGAGCATGGGATATGGGACCCATAGTAGACCCTAGACAAGTATATTTCGAGTGAGTTGATGGTTGCATCCCAGAAGGGGTCTGTGGGTGATCACAGGTAGGGTGTCATTGATATATCCTAGAGCTTGGATGTATCCCAGGAGAGGGTATTTCATCTTGTCCCTGTCCTTGTCACTGGATGTTAACATGTGTTAGACTGTGAATGAAGTCCTGTGTAGTTTGAACACAAAATACCGCTTGGGTCATACTGAAGGGATGAGAGCACACCTGATATAGGGCAAGGTAATTCTAGGTGTTGAGAGATATGATGGAAAAAAAACAGGAGGAAACTGGGTGGTTTCATGTAGGGTGAGTCCTGCCAGAAGTCTAATTTTTTGATGTAGCACAAGTATGGTGTTGGAGTCAGACTAGGTTGGAACACAGGAAGTCAAGTACAGACTAGGCAATGGAGGAACATTCATGGTCTGGACAACAACGCATTTGATGGGGGCACATAATAGGGGTCAGGAGAGACCCTGCATATGGTGGTGGGTAACCTGGTTATTCAGGAGCATTGTGGAAGCATCATGGTAAGTACTGGTGGGTTATTGCAGGTAAGTAAGTCCTGGTTAGAGCCTAGAGCTTGTAGGTAGTTATAGCTGAGTTAGTCAGACTGAGCCAGGATAGAAGATGTAGAACCCTTAGGAAGCCTAGAGGTCAGCTGCTGTGCAGGGAGGACTGGACAGATTACACCATGGCACTGACTGTAGGAAAAAGGCTTGACGGGGATGCCAAGGGTACACAGCAAACTAGTCCCTGGAGGTGGACTTGGGAAGTCTGGGTACCTAAAGGGATTATGAATTTTGGGTAGAAGGGACCTAATTATGTTTACATTTAGGATGGGTCCTTTATGATGCACAGAGCTTGTTTGCAAGCACAGGTAAGAGTTGTTAGAGTAGGCTAGGCAAAGAATGTGGGATAGGACTTTGGAGACAACTGTGATAAATCTGTGTACTGAGCATTAATGGCCACACAGAAGGGGTTGTGCTAGATGACGGAAGCTGGGATAGGAAGTCTGGGTACTAAGTAGCATGGTGGAGGAAGCCCACAATGTACCTGTGGATAGATGCAGGTAAGTTGAATCCTAGACAAAACCTGCAGCTGGGGAACAGTAAAGTCTCAGATGGTCATACTAGGCTGCTACAAAATATTTGCTTCACTGACAATGTCTGGTTATGACTGCTGTGTCGGTATGGTGTGAGGGGCATACTAGGCCAAGAAAATAGTTTTATGATCTGTAATACATCTTCCATTTAATGGAAAGATATTAATGGGCTTCGATGGTGAGGTCAGGTCTACTTACCTGTCTACACACTACTGGATGGCAAGGAGAGTCTTTGTAACAAGTGGCTTTATGAATGCTGCCTCAAAGGAACCTGTGTGTAGTTGCTTGTAGGACAGGTCCTGTGTAAAACCTAGAATTTGTCTGCAGGAAATCCATGGTGTTCTCATAAGGCTACAGCAAAGGATATGGAACCTTAAAGTACAGATGTTACCTGATGTACAGTTAATCATGACCAGCTCAGGCTGTGAGACCCAGGTTTTAGGACCTGTTGGTTTGAGACCAGGCCAGATCTGTCCAGTTGTGGGAAAGGCTTGGATGGGACTCCAAAAGTGCTCATTGAGTCTCCTGATGGACCTCATCTGAGTATATGAAGAGCCTTTTTGTTGAGTACGTTGATTGGGCAGGCAAGCTGGGTTGCCACACAGAAAGGATCAGGCTCAACCACAATTGAGGTTGTAAAACAATTGGATACAAAGCAGTGAATTAGAGCTTGTCCAGAATGTGCCAATGCATAGCTTCAGGATTCATTGAGCACTAGTGATAAAACACCAGTACCCACACAAGTTACAGAAGTGAAAGTTCATTTGGGTTTGTGGTCTGAAAGTCCATCATGGCTGGGAGGCATGACAATAGGCAACAGGAAACAGAGTAACAGCTGGAAGCTGAGAGCTCTTATTTTGAAACAGAAGCACAGTGAAGCAGTTAGGAAAAACAACAACAAAAAAATGGCAGGTGTTATTTTAGCTCTGAAAACATGCCCTCAGTAACATACTTCCTCCAGCAAGTCCTCATCTCCTAAAACTGACAAAATGGGCCACCAACTGTGAAACAAATATTCAACTGACAAAGCTACAAAGAACACTCTCATTCAAAGCACTACAACTAATTTTTTCTCAGTTTGGTTCCTATTTTCATCCATTTATTTGAGATTTTCTTGTTTAGGGGGATAGACTCAACTTAAGTCCTTATGCTCCTATGAATTTTTCAGTAACTGATATGTTGTTCTCCTTTTATGTGTTTTGATTTTGCTAAGTTGGTTATTCCCTCACTCTGTGAGTCTCTCCTCATGGCTCTCTATTTAGTTTATTTCTTAAGGAGAGTATCCAGATTGAGAGGTCTTTAGCTATTTTCCTATATTGACTTGATTTCCCTGTTTCATTCAACTGTTTGTGTCTAAAAGATCTGGTCAGAGGAGGAGGTCTTGGGGTTTCTGGGTACTAAATATATTCATGGAAGTTACACAGAAGGGACAAGGCTATATTCTAGAGGGTGTGGTAAGTCTAGGGGGAAAATGAACTGAGAGAAAAGGAACAAAATATGTCTGTATGTGGTTGCAGCTAGAGTAGGTATGGACAAAGTCTAGAGTTTAACTGCTGAGAGGTCAGGGTATGGTCAGACTAGGCTATGACTGTGGATGCATCACAAAGGCTAGAATGTTCTAAGAATGTCATGGATTCTGAAGTCAAGGAAACTCACTGGGCTCAAGTCTAGTGGAGAGGTGTGGAGGTGGATAGATATTGGTACAGAGGAACCTTCTTTAGGAGCATCTGTGACTGTTTACAGGTAAGGCATTTCACAGTTGAGGCCTAGAGCTTGACTTTGCTGGCAGAGTTTGAAGGATCTGGGGCTGTGGGAACCATAATAGAATATGTAGAATAACATGGGGAGTCTGTGTCCATTGTATGGGGATGGAGACTTTAACAAGGAGGCCCATTGGTGCTTGCAGGTAAGTCAGGTACTGGTAAAATCCTAGAGATTGGCCTCAGTGTAGGCAGTGTTGGTCAGAGTGCTAATGAGTAAATTATATGAGCCTGGGTGAAGTCTACGGGTCTCTGTTGCACAGAGAGGGACAGTCACATATTCCATGGACCTGGATATGGGATCAAGACTAAATATAGTAGCAGGAAAAAACCTTGGATGTTGAAGGTAGGATATACATTACGACCTGGGAGAGGATATGGGAATTTGGAGTAAGAACTGGGTTGATGGAGATAAATAAATAACAGACACGAGGCAAGTTGCAGGTAGGGCCATCCCAGATTTAGGCTAGAGCTTCTCTGAGACAATAGTGGATGTGGCCAGCGTAGGTTAGTGAAAATATGTTGCAAACATGTGGAAGCCTAGGTATTGCTATCACTCAGGTTAGGTGGCCAGACTAGATCAAGACACTGAAGGTGGGACATGGGTAGAACCTGCACATTACATGAAGGCTTCAGTGGGGAAGTTCACGGAATCAAACAGGTTGACCCCAGAGGAGGCCTTGTGTGTCTACATACCATGTCAGTTAATTGCAGCCCCACAGAAAGTGTCAGAGTGGACCTTGCAGGTAAAGGTGGGAAGAAAGGTATATTGCCTGGGTTCTCTAGAGAACATAACTCATAAAATGAGTATGTATGGGAATTATTAGAGAGGCTTACAGGCTGTAATCCGACTAGTCCAAAAACCGCTCTCTACAATGGAAGTTCCAGGAATCCAGGAGATGTTCATTCTACCGGCTTGATGGTTTCAGCTGGTCTTCAGTAGGCATCTAAACCCCAAATAAGTAGACTCTAATGCCAGTGAATCAAGAGCATGGGAAAGCAGGAAAAGAGCAATAATTTCTTTCTTCCATGTCTTTTGCCTAGGTAGCCACGCCCAATTCTACCCCATACCATAGGTAAGTTTTCCCACCTAAAGTGATCTGGATTTAAGGTGGGGCTTCCAACCTCAAATAATCCTGTTAACTAAAATCCCTGAGTAGGCTCTAATGCCAGTGTCTCAAGAGCAGGTGCAAGCAGGAAAAGAGCAATAATTTCTTTCTTCCCTGTCTTTTACCTAGGCAACCACAACTAATTCTACCCCACACCATAGGTAAGTTTTCCCACATAAAGTTATCTGGATTTAAGGTGGGACTTGCTACCTCATATGATCCATAGTTGTGCTCATTGACTTGGATTTTTAGGTAAAATCAGATGTAGTTAGTTGATAATTAAGAATAGCTATCACAAATAGGTGAGGAGGGACATGGTTAAGGGAAACAGAAGGAACTTATGATTGGTTTGGTGGAAACCTATTCCTTGGCTCCTTTTCCATTGGGGGTGGACATAGTAGGACTATGAGAATGTCTTGGGACAAGGGCTACATCTATTGGGTTACAGAAAGTTTTGGTGGGAACACCAAGGGCAGTCATTGTCCTTGCTCTTAAAGAGGACATTGGAAATATTGGTACCAAATAAGGGAGTAGAGGAAGGCTACCTGTGGGGTTTACAGGGAAGACAGGTGTTGGTGAAATCCTTGACCTTTGGTATTGTATTCTCAAGGTTGGAGCATGGGATATGGGACCCATAGTAGAACTTTGACAAGTATATTTCGAGTGAGTTGATGGATGCATCCCAGTAGGTGTCTGTGGGTGATCACAGGTAGGGTGTCCTGGATATATCCTAGAGCTTGGATGTATCCCAGGAGAGGGTATTTCATCTTGTCATTGTCACTGGATATTAACATGTTTTAGACTGTGAATGAAGTCCTGTGTAGTCTGAACACAAAATACTGCTTGGGTCATAATGAAGGGATCAGAGCACACCTGATATAGAGCAAGGTAAGTCTAGGTGCTGAGCGATACTATGGAAAACAACAGGAGGAACCTGGGTGGTTATATGTAGGGTGAGTCCTGCCAGAAGTCTAGTTTTTTTGCTGCAGCAAAAGTATGGTGTTGGAGTCAGACTAGGTTGGAACACGGGCAGTTGAGTACAGACTAGACAATGGAGGAACATTCAGGGTCTGGATTACAATGCAGTTGATGGGGGCCACATAATAGGGGTCAAGATAGGGGAACCTGGTTATTCAGGAGCATTGTGGAAGCATCATGGTAAATACTGGTGGTTTGTTGCAGGTAAGTAAGTCCTGGTTAGAGCCTAGAGCATGGATGTAGTTACAGCTGAGTTAGACTAAGCCAGGACAGAAGATGTGGAATGCTTAGTAAGCCTAGAGATCAGCTGATGGGGGATCTGAACTATAACTGGAGGGTTGCAGAAAAGAGGTATATGTAGAGGTCAAGGGATTTCACCAGGCTAGATCTTTAAGGAGGATATGTTGTCAAACAGACGGTTCAGTTTAGACCCTGGACTATGATGTGGTCATTCTCATCATCCAGTATTACGATAAAGGGTACCTAGAATGTTTTTTGGGATTTGGGGTCTGTAGGGGTCCCTCGGTCAATGCCGGAGAGTGCAGTGTTAGCACATCCTGAATCCTCCCTGAAACCCAGAGACAATCAGATGCGACAGGCCATCAAGTCAAGCCAGATCTCGTTTATTGTATAACAGTAACGCTCTCTTAAATCAGAAAAGTGCAGGGTGGAAATAGTATTACACAATACTTTTAAAGGTATTCCTATTATGTATCTAGTTTCCTATTCCCTCTTGGGAAACATCTGGGAGTATGATAACCTCATCATGTGTGAGTTTGCGCAGCCAATTGATATTCTTAGTAAACACTTGAAGCCTTGCCTCTGTAGCTTCCTCCCAGTGCCATGTTGTAAATGCCAATGGTTGTTATCTGGGATCACTCCCTCTTCTGGAGGGACACGATCTGTGCTTCTCCAGGTGTGGGTGTCTGCAGGTTAGAATGAGCCCTGCTAGAAGCCTAGAGCTCTTCTGAAGTACACTTGTTATTGATAAAATAGGCAGAGGCAAAGATGTGGGGCCCTGGGGAAGCCAAGAATGTGGCTGCTGAGCAAGCATAGTTGGCATCATTTGGCCATGGCAATGGTTTGGGGCCTGGACTAAATCTGTTGGGTTTGGTGAAAATCTTAGGTAGGGAGGGGAGAGGTACAGACTAAGCTAAACTGGTCAGGAGGACATGGAAAGTCTGGGTAACAAGTGCAGTGGCAGAGGGTGCACAGAAGGGACCATTGGGTGGGAGGTAGGGCAGTCCTGCCTAATGCCCAGGGTACAGGCCTTAATAGTCCCACTAGGAAAAAGGTGTGGGATACTGCATAAGTATAAATGTTGGCTTCTGTGCAGGTGAACCTGACCAGACTAGGCTAAATCAATGGTTGTGAGACCCAGACTAGATCTGGAGGGTTTCAGAGAACACTGGGATTAGTAGGTCTGGGATGCTTACCTAGATCTTTATGAAAAATTGTTTGGATTAGGAACAGAGGTACTCACCAGGAAAGATCCCAAATGAACACTTGGGTACCTAATGGTTTGGTGAGGGCTTCATGGGAGAGATCTGTAGGTGGTTGCAGTTAGCATAGGTTCTACATGAAACCTAGAGCTAATTTGCTCCTCTTTGGCAAGATTGGTCATTCTAGGTGAGGGCACAGGATATGGGTCCCTTGCTAGAACCTGGAAGAACATGGAGAGTCTCAACATTTAGTGGCATGGTGCTACTACATGGTGTCAGGTAGGGGGTATCCTGGTCAAAGCCTAGAGCTTTGGGCTGGTCATACTAGACCAGGCAAAGGATATAGGACAAGGGTTACATCTACCAGGTTACAGAAAAGGAGCAGATGGGGAGGTCATTCACTTGCTGATTGTGGGACTTGGGCTGAATCAGGAACTCACTAGGCTTGACACTTGTGAGAGTATAGCAGGTTAAGAAGTGTGGTTACCTTAGTGTGGCTGGTCGAATCTGCCCAGAAAGGTCCTTTTGGTGGATTCAGGTAAGGTAGGTAGTGGCTGAAACTTAGAGCTCATCTGTAGAACAGGCTAGATTCTTCAGACTAGGCTGATAAAAAAGATTTGAGACCCTGTAAGGCTAGATGTTGGCTGTTCAGGCTGGGGTGGCCAAACTAGGCCAGGGTACTTGGTGTGCAACCCGTGTTAGATCTGGTTGTTGAAGAAAATGAATGGATGTGGGGGATTTAGGGAACACACAGTAATCGACCATAGGAGGATATGGAAAGTCTAAGTATCTACTGAGGTAGCTGTGCAGAAGGGACTTGTGGCTAGTTGCAAGTAGGGCAGGTACAGGTGGAAACCTAGAGTTTCGTTGTGGTACATTCATGGGTGGTCAGATTATGGAGGTGCATATGATATGGGACCAATGGTATAACCTGGAGCATTATATCAGAGTCTTGGTACTCAGTGGGGTGGTGCATGTTGTTCATAAGGGTCCTATTGGTGGTTGCAGGTAGGACAGGTCCTCACTGAGGCCTAGAACTTATTTCGAGCCCTAGCAGTGGTGGGCAGACTAGGCAAATGCAAGGATGTGGGACCCTGTAAGAGCCTTGATGATGGCTGCTGGGCAGGTACAGGGCTCCCGAATATGACAGTGCACTGATTGTGGGACTTGCCTGAATCTGGAAGATTGCAGAAAAGGGGTTGATGGGCAGTTTAAGGGAACTCACCTACTTGACCCTGGAAGAGGCACTAGGATGTCTGTGAAACTAGTGTGGTGGTGGAGTCAATGCAGAGGGACTTGTGGTTGGTTGCAGGTAGGGGGGGTCCTTGAATAAACATAGATATTTTTCTGTAAAGGCTGAATGTTCAGACTAGGCTGGGGTGTGGAATATGAGGCCTATGCAACACCTTGGTGGAGGATCTAGGGAGTCTGTGTACCAAGTGGAGTGGTAAAGACCATGCCAAACAGCTCAGTCTATAACCTGAAGGAGGATATAGGAAGTGTATTACCAAGTGTGGTTGTGGAAGTAGTCCAAAAGGAACTTGTAGGTGATTGCAGATAGGGTGTGTCCTATTTGCAGCCCAGAACTGGCTGGCAGGCAGGCAAGATTGGTTAGACTGGGTAAAGAATGTGGGACTCTCTTGAAATCAAGTTAGGAAGGGTCCTACTTGAAGTATAGAACTTGTTTGCAGCATAAGCATGGGTGGTTATATTAGGCTAGAGCAAAGCATATTGGTCCCGTGTTGGGCCCCAGAAGAGATTGTGAGGGCTCTGTGTACTGAGTGAGTTCATGGGGGTCACACAGAATCAATCAGTCTAGACATTAAAGGAGGCAGTAGGAAGTCTGGGTATCAATTTATATGTTAGAGGCAGTGCAGAAGTTGCCTGTTGGAGGTTGTAGGAAGGTGAGTTTTGGTGAAAGCCTTGAGGTTGCCTTTGGTGCAAGTGGTTTTGGTCAAATTATGCAGCAACAATGGTTGTAGGATTCTGGAGGAAGCCTAGAAGCTGTGTGCTACAAGTTGGAGCTGTCCAGAATAGGCCAAGGAACAAGTTGTGGAACCCAGACTAGATCTGGAGGGTTTCACAGAACACTTGGATTAGGAGGTCTGGGATGCTTGCCTTGCTAGACCCTAGAGAATGACATGGGGAATATGTATATGTAGTGGATTTGTAGATGCTCCACAGAAGGTCCCTATTGGCAGTTGCAGACAGGACAGGTGCCTCCATTGTGGGCAGAGGAAGCAAACAAGCCTGGAGCACAAGAAGGGGGAACCAGATTAAATTCTTATGGAAGATATGGGGATTCTGGGTACAGAAAGCAGTGGTGGATGGGGCACGGAAAACTCATGCTGGTGGTTGCAAGGATTCGGGTTATTTCCTATCGCGTATTTACTTATTTGGATTCTTCTAAGGAATCTTCTCTCAGAAGCATCGAAATACCCACATTTATTGCCTTGCAGCCTTAAAACATTTTCTCTTTCACTTCATTTTAAGATGTGTAGAGGATATTTGGCCTTAAACTTGACCGTTTACCTTTGAATTTCCTATTTCTTACTTGTATCTTACACTTGGTTTGGTAAATTTTCTGCAATTATTTCTCCCAGTAACCTTATAAACCTTTGCCCTTTTCAAGTGGTTCTGGCACATCAAGAACTCATGCATTTGTTTTTTCCCACATTAGTTACAAAGTTTCTTTAATCTGTCTTCATTTCTATTCATTTGTTTGTCCCTTTTGACTGTATT